GATTCTCAGCCATTATCTTTCTTACTATTGCATAGTTCCTGTTCTCTTTAACTTGTTTTTTCTTCTTCCAGGAATTCAAAGAAATATTTGTGTGAGTGACTTCAATCTCTCTCTGTTGTGCATTCTGGGTTATTTCTTTAAATCCATCTTCCAGTTCACTGATCTCTCTGTCCAGCTGTTTAACCCATATCTTGAATTTCTCATTTTTATGATTATATTTTTTAATTTCTAGAAGTTTTATTTGGTCATCTTTCAAGAGTACTGGCCATGTTAGAGTCTCTTGTTCTTTGGTTATCCTTTGGATAACTTGATTTTGTTTCTTCAAATATATTGATCATACTTATTTTACATTTGTGTCATATAATTTCAAAATCTGCTATTTTTGCAGGATGGATATTTAAGTTCTGAAGCTTCTCTCACGCACGGTGTCTTGTTTCTTTGTACATTTTGTGTGTTTTCTTCCATTATATATTTCAGAATTTTCTATAGAATTTCTTTGAGGCCTGTATTTAAAGGACAGAGGATTTGTGCTTGCTTATGCCAGGCGCTCTTGGGCGATACTCCCTCTGGACCACTTCATTTAGAACTTTTAAAAAATATATTTTTAAACTTTTCTATTTTTATGGGACTGTCACAGTCTAAGTAAAATCTGTGTGCAAGCTAATCAGATGCAGCTTCAAGACAAATCTAGAAGCTGTCCCCCAACCAGATTGCTCTCCCTCAGTCCCTGCAAGAGAGAAATTCTCACGCATCCACTACTCTCTGCCTAGACCACGCAAAACTAAAATTGCAGCTTGTGGCTATAAATTCTCAGGTCAACATTTTCCTTTTTTCCCCACTTCCACCCAGATCCAAGGTCAAGATATGCAAGCATCCTCGCCTCTCTTGGTGGGGTATTTTTTCTAGGTCACCAATTGTATTAGTTTTCTGTTGCTGCTGTATCAAATGATTGCAAACTTAGTGGCTTAAGACAGCACAAATTTATTATCGTTCCGTTATGGAAATCCAAAATAGATTTCACTGAGTTAAAATCGAGGCGTCGGCAGGGCTGTATGGTTTTTAAAATCCTCACCCGAGGATATGGTTTTATTGATTTTTTTTTTTTTTAGAGCGAGAGAGAGAGAGAGAGCACTTGCTTTCCCGTACACGCTCTGCCTGGGGATCAAACCTGCAACCTTTTAAAAAAATATATATTTTTATTGATTTTGGAGAGGAGGAGAGAGATAGAAACATCAGTGATGAGAGGGAATCATTGATTGGCTGCCTACTGCATGTTGGACCGAGTCCGCAACCCAGGCTTGTGCCTTTGACTGGAATGGAACCTGGGACCCTTCGGTCCACAGGCTGACGCTCTATCTGTCTATAGGGGCCAGTATTCTGCCAGCCACAGCTTGAGAGCATTGCCCGTCAAGAGTACAGGTTTGATGTAGGGGCCCAAGTGTCTCTTGGTTCCCATGGGTGGTGTCTGGAGAGCCACTGGAAGAAGGTGTCCAAGGAAGAGGGGGTGGCCCTGGGCTCCTGGCTCCTGGGTGTAGATTCCCCACGGACAGGAGCGAGCCCCAGAGCTGGCTTACTCCTCTGGACACAAATATCCTCATAGTTGCTGACCTCGGAGGCTTTCTCTGATTTTCCTACCAGCTCAGCCATTCATTCCATGTTGTTAGATTTCATCCTACGTTTTAGGGCAGTGATGGCGAACCTATGACACCCGTGTCAGAGGTGACACGCGAACTCATTTTTTTGGTTGATTTTTCTTTGTTAAATGGCATTTAAATATATAAAATAAATATCAGAAATATGTCTTTGTTTTACTATGGTTGCAAATATCAAAAAATTTCTATATGTGACATGGCACCAGAGTTAAGTTAGGGTTTTTCAAAATGCTGACACGCCGAGCTCAAAAGGTTCGCCATCACTGTTTTAGGGGTTCTGGACCCGGAAGATTTCCCTGGACATGCTGTCCACATTGCTCACTAAGTTGCCACTGTGTTCTCATACAGCACTTGCCCCCATCCCCCACCTTCCAGCTCCCTTCTGCTTCCCGCCATCTCTCTGTGGCTGGGGATTCTGACTTGAGAAGGACCACGCAGCCACGGTGCGCAGAAGGCGTTCAGAGCTGAGGCCGGGAGGCCAGGGAGGAGCAAGCCCCACTGATCACTTCAGGTGGCTCAGTGGCCTCCGCAGGGTCTCCTGGCCTCCAGTCTGGGCCTTTTGGTTGTTGTTCATCCTCCCCTGAAGATATTTTCCCATTGATTTTTAGAGAGGGGAAGGGCGCGGGGGGGTGGGGGGGTGGGGAGACATCAACGTGAGAGAGACACAGATTGGTTGCCTCCTGCATGCGCCCCAACTGGGGCCGGGGACAGAGTCTGCAACCCAGGTATGTGCTCTTGACCAGAATGGAACCCAGGACCCTTCAGCCCTCGGGCTGACTTTCTAGCCACTGAGCCAAACTGGCTAGGGCTGGGCCTTTTAGATCCAAATTCCACACTTTGTCAGCCAGAGGGACAGATGCTGGGATATGCAAGTCTGCTCTTGTCCCTCCCCAGCTCAGGCCCTTCTGTGGCTCCCATCCTCTCCTGCTGAGGCTCTGACCCTGCACCGAGTCTTGGGGCGTAGCTGCCCAACTGCATGGTCACTTCTGGCCCCTGCTCCCCTGATCTCCGCCACTCTGGACACCCGGTGCCATTTACTGATTTATGGGGTCTGTTGTTTAGTGTCCTCCCTCCCCCTCCCAGAAGTTGGCTCCAAGTGGCAGGCCTCTTTGGTTCACTGCTTCATCCTGGTCATTAGCCGTACGTGGCAGATAGGGGTTCAATGGGTCGTGAGTAAATGGGGGACCTGGCCAGAGGTGGGGCCAACAGGCAGTGCAGGGGCCAGATGGGAAATGATGACATGGGGGCGGGGCGGCGCTTGAGTCCCTGAGCGGCCCAGAATGTTCCCCCCTTCCCTAGACCTCCCCCCCCCGCCCTTCCCCAAACCCTCCAAGGTACCCAGGAAGCAGCCTCCCTCAGTTCAGAATCTTACAGAAACCGTTTATTCAGGAACAATTCAAGAAAGCAACTGTGGGGTGGGTTCCCAAGGGTTAGGGTGTGTGTAAGTGCCGCCGCCCGCTGCCCACTGCCCGCGAGGGGTGTGTCTGCAATGAATGGCCGTGTGTGTGTGTGTGTGTGTGTGTGTGTGTGTGTGTGTGACTGTGTGGGACCCGCAGTATCAAAATCCAGGCCTTCTTCTTCCCCTCCCCCACCTCCAGCTCTTGCTCTGAGACCCCATCTTCTCCCGTGGCAGTCTGACCACCCTCAGTCACAAAGAGCCTCAGTGATCCCGTCAAGACATCTGGGAAAGAGGAGAAAAAGCATCTTTTCAAATGTCAAGTGGATAAACAGTCAGGGCGCCAGATGTGCGGCTGGGAACCCTCCCAATGGCTCTCAGGCCGGTGATCTCCCCAGCGGTGCTGCCCAGCAAGGAGCCATCCAGAGGCGGGCTGTCCCCGTGGCCGCCGGGTGGCTGCTGCACCTCTGAGTCCACATCCCCTGGGAAGCCCCGGGCAGAGAAGCCGGGAGGTGACTGCACTGGTGGTGGTGGCGAGCCCCTCCCCAGAAGCAGCCGTTTGGGGACAGGGATGGGACTGCGAGCAGGTCTCTGGCGGCAAATGAGGTGGCCGGAGCAGGCGTGCGCCCTTCCTGAGGGGGCAACCACAGGGAGGCTCAGGGCCCAGCTGAGCTGGCAAAGCACAGGGCCCGGGCCTGGGGACAGGCCGCCACCGGGAATGGTCCCTCGGAAAGGGAACCCCCTACCCCCCCCAAAGAAAAAAGTAACAGTCGCAGAAGAGGCAGTTTCTGGAGCGAGGTCCCGCCCCAAAGCGGCGAGGGTCAGGCCGGTGGTCCCAGCCGGCCCAGAGGCACATTTAATAGGATTCCCGAGGATGTTTCAAGTGGGCAGGGCGGGTCTCTCCGGGTGGCCACCCTGGGGAGGCTCCCAGCGCCTGCCTCTTCCCACAGCCCCCGCATGAGGTATT